GTGGGGTTCGGGGCCTCTGGTGTCAAAGGTCAGGGAGCGGACACTCGCGCAGGCCCTGTTGGAGGGTCGGTGGTCCTAACCAGTCTTAACCGGCTCGAGCTCAAACTGGACACAGATGATTCCAAGTTCCTGCGAAACAGCTCAGGGAAACATCTTTTTTAGGCTCCAGGCGGCCTGGAGGAGGTGCAAGGGTTCCAGCGAAGCCGTGGGGGCAGGTTACAGGTGGGGTGTTCTACGTGGTGATCGCCCTCAGACTCACAAGCAGGGTTTCTGCTTCTGCGAGAAGGAAGAATTGCTTCAGGGGGATAGTGAAGGGTCCTGGGCCCGCAGGATAAAGGTCTTCCTCAGCGTCCTCCCTTATAACACAGTGAACGGACTAAGGCTCCGCCTCCAGGTCAGGGCAGGGGAAAGGGGGCTCTGCCCCTTGTGTTTCTCATTATTTCTTAGGCACTTACCGCCTGAAACCGCCTAAGAGCCTTGCCCAACTTTCAGTCGCACCTGCTCTGTGAACAGCGCCCAGGACACTTCCCGTGTGGCCACCATGGTCCCCCGGAGCTGTTGGGCTCGTGGTCAGACACACAGCAAACAGCAGCACCACTTACTCTACTGGGGGAGCGGTCCAGGAGAGCTTCCTGGAAGAGGTCATGCTCTAGGTGGATCTGAAAGGCTGGAGGGTGCCAGGTGGAGTTTAGGGGAGGGCTCCAGAAAGAGAACGGCCTGTGGTGGGGAGAGGGGACGAGGATGGCCTGCTATGAAGCTTCCGGTTACAAGGCAATGACAGGGGAGGCTGGAGAGGAGGCCAGGGAGGACCCTGCTGAGGAGCTGATTTTAACCTGAGGACACTGAAGATGAGGTCAAACCTCTGTCACCAGAGGCGGAGCCCGGCACCCAGGAGACAGCCGTCCTAGAGAGAAGCAGATTGGCTGGAACCAGAGGAGACATGGTCCACAAGGCTGACAGATGCTTGTTACACCTGCTCTGTGCCAGGCACTGGTGTGTCCTAAACAGCGGTTACCCTTCTGAAGTTCGCATCCAGTGGGAGGAGACATTTCATAAATGCACACAAAATGTAAACAAGATGATTTTAGGTCCTGCAAAATGCTGTGGAAGAGGCAGAGAAAGCAGAGGCATTTGGAGGAAGATGCGGACTTAGGGGGTGGGCTTTCCGGAAGCGCCGTGTTCTAGGCATCTGTAATCTGATGGGAAGGGTCCAGTGAAGCAGGAAGGGCGATGGGAGTGGGCCCGCTGCAGTAGCCATGACGCTGAACCGGTGAAGGGGGCAGAATTCAGAGCTCAAGAGCAGAGTCGGCCTTTGTGTTGATCTTCTCTTGCTGCTGTAACCAAGCCCTGCCGACGAAGAGGTGACCGCAACAACGTCCCCTTGTGCTGCGTCTCTCGTTTCCTCTTCTGCACCAGCCGCAGAAGGCTGTCTGCATCTAAGGGCTCCCACGTTCAGCTCAGGCCTCCTGGAAGACGTCCCTCTTTCGGGGTCAGCCGTCCCATGACACACAGCCCTGAGGTTGCACCAGATTCTCTGGGTCCAGGGATCAGGCTGTGGGATGGTGGGGGCCGTTTCTGGGGATTCCTACAGGACCAGGAACCCCTTGCGCTGCAGCAGGTGGGAAGGCAGGACGTGGAGGCCTGTGCGCGCGCGCACACACACACACACATATAGGATTTTTCCAGAATAAAGGAGGCCTGAGCATGTTTACAGACAGAAGGAGCCAGAGAGAGGGGCCTCCACAGGCAAGGAGGGAGGG